ATCCTTTGTAAACATTTTCTATTGTTTTACGAATTCGGGGGTGTAGACACTCGAATTTCACGTGTTTAAATAATCTTAATATAACATTTGCATTATGATTTACTGAAATTATTTTAAACAGTTCTTTGACATATTTTGATTCATACATAAATTTAAAAAATATATCTACATAAATTAAAAATGCAACGTTTAAAATTTAATTATTTTAATTCTACCTAGATTTTCAACGGAACGAAGAATGATAATTTTTATAATAACTATAATAATATTATTAACTCAGTGAAGGTAATTTAAATAAAAATTAACGATTCGGCGCATTAAAAGTTATGTGTTTTATTACTATCCTTAGTTTTTGTTCGAAATTAATTTCAAAGTATAACTAAACTTTTAGCTTATTTTGAGTTAGTTTTTTTTTTTTTTTTTTGTGAAATTGGGTCAATGTCATAATGAAAATGTTTTAAGTCTTAAACTTAGAGATTGTGATTTGTCGAAATCGCACATGATATAACTGTTATTATTTTTATTTTGGTGGTAACCAGAAATATAAAAAACTAATTGAAGTTAATCGGTGTGCTTTTTTTTTTTTTTTTGGTGGGAAGTTTGAAAGGTAGGAAGTGTTTGATAAATAAATTTATATCTGTACGCAACGATATTGGACAACGAATCTGAGCAATGTTTTGAAATATTGTGATTTTTAAGATATTCGATCAAACTTAATTCGCTTAAGTAACAAAATATCTTTTAGATTTGAGTTTTGGTAAAGGTGGTTTACAGGCACTTAAATAAAGAAACACATCATAGTAAAACCAAGTTTTATTCAGAATCAATGTGTGTTGAATACTGTTTATGTTAAAAGCCGAGCGAGACAGCTAGTAGTAAAAAAAATTAAAATAACTGTATAATACGTAAGTTTCAAAAAAGTATAAAAATGTTTTCGTATACAGCGATTGTGGTAATGTATTAGCCGAGTCAAAAAAAAAAAAAAATCTTTTAAGTGTATCAAATGAATTAAAAAGTGTGTCCCCTAAAATCGGATGTATTATGTTATGACTTGCATCATAATGAAACGAAAACATTGCTCGACGAGCTCAGAATCCAATATGAATCATAATTTAAGAAAATGTTTACAAAAATGCAACGTATACGTATAGGTATATACTAAATTCAAGTTGGAAAAATACGATCGAAGTAAAATGAACCCGCGTAAATGTATCTAAAACGTGACGTGTATTTGTTTTAGAACGTATAGTAGTAGTCGTATTCTAGTTTCAAAGATGTGTGTTTTCACTTTCATTTAGTAGGGTTATATATACATATACGTTATTTGATTAAGATTGACAACACCGGTTCGAATGAGAAAGTCCGGTGTTTTCGATTTCCCGGAGCAGATTACTGTAGAAAACACGCATATTCGTACGCGTTTTCTGGATGTTTTGATCAGAATTTCTCAATTACGTATAAATTCAAACATGTATACACATATATACATATTATGTTATCCGAGCTACACAAAGTCGGATAATATGTGTATGTAAAGAAGCCCTTAGGAAGGTACGCGTTCATCACGCATCACGAACAAAATATATCATGGTAGATATATCTATACCAAAGACTACGGAAGATAACTCTATCACGCATCGTGTATCGGTGGGTTTTCGAAAACTATAAAAAAAAATGTGCATATCAAAAGAAGATCGTAACAGAAAGACTATTTCATCTTTTATGCAATTAAATTTCTTCTATACCTAGTTGGAAACACACGTAAAACATTGCACTACCCTTTTGAAGTGTGAATGCTGACGACGGTTTGCCAATATAAAGTGATAGAATCGAAACCATAAAAATGTTTTTGCTGGATTTAAACACAATAATATCCACCTATAACTATACCGCATGCAACGATATTCCGGACCAAACCATTTCCAACCGTGTACTTGGTTGGTTTTATGTCTCACGCGCAGTAATTTTGGTCGGATATAACGATATTGGTTACAACGATAATTCGGATATAACGATGGTATTTTGAAATTAAAATTGGTTTTTCATTCGCCTATAACAATAAATTATTCCGGTGCGATAATTCGTTATCTAATTTATAATGCATAATATTTTAGCATGCGGGACAATATGTGCCTCACTAATTCAGTCACTGTTTTGAGTTTTATTCGTTTAGGCGCGCCCCGTTTTTAAAAATGTCAAATAAAAGACGTCATTGTTTTTCTATCGATAAAAAAAAAAAAAAAAAAGAATGAAAATAATTAAACGTTTAGGTAGTGGTTTGTCTAATAAAGATATTTGCCACTGGGAATATATATATATTACATATTAAGTACTTTTTTTTTTAAATACATAATATGGTTTGTATAATAATACATTTTTAATACAAAAATATGTTTAATAAATCAATTTTTCAATAAAATTACAATTTTTTTTTGCCATCCGAATGTGACAAAGTTCGGATAAAACGATCTGATTCTCAAGTTCCCTTGAAAATCATTATAAGCGAATTTGTACTGTTCTCTAAAAATGTATTTTTATCACAAGAATTCCCTTAAAAAATTACCCAGAAATCTCGAAAACAAAATTTAAAATCACGGAATAAGGCAAAAAAAATGTTTATTTTATAAGAAGTATTAATTGATACATGATTCACATTATGTATTTTGAATTATTTTTTCTTGAGCACAATAAGAAATTTTAAATCATATATAGAATTATTAGAAATTAGATAAAAATAGGTAGGTTCCCAAAATAAATTTTATGATCATAGTATTATCATAATAATTTTTGAAATAACTAATTTTTAATTAATATGTAGTATAACCATAATGCATTTTTTACTAATAAAATTATTATAGTTAAAAATATAAAAAAAATGCAGAATAAAAGTTCCATTTTTTTTTTTAGTGTCTGCTACGTATATATCAAACATCAGAAAAAAGATTCATAATGTAATGAAACATGGATCCTAATAATCAATATTATAATATTATGTATAACATATAAATGGTTTTGTTTTTTGTTTTAGATTTTGAGCGGAGCGAAGAATGTATTGATTTTACATTGTGAACACTTTTTCTACCAGAGAGCTCACTTCGATTATCAAGTATAGCACCTTTTCTGAAATGAAATGTTTTCTGAATGATACTTTAAACAAATCTTTTATTGAAATTATCATTTATACTCGAAATAGTGAGGAAAACCTGGTTCTTTAGGTTAAACAAAATTGAAATATTAAAAACAAGGTTAGCAACCGTTTTTATTTATTTTTTGTTATGAAGTTTTTTATAATCAAATCTTTTTGAAAAAATCGTTGTTTTCATAGAAACGCACATTGTTGTAATCATTTTACCATACTATGACATATTGTATATTGTTTACAAAGCAACACTATCAACTAAACTCCGCTCAAAATCGTTTTTTCATTCGCAATGGTTTATCGTTGCTTACAGATGTACATTAAATTCATGTTTGTATTTTACATTCCCAACTTCCCATCTACACCAGTGATTACACCCATGTGTGAAGTATGTCTATCCCCCTTTTGTTTCTATGAGTAGCTTTTCTACCGGAAATTTTGCTCCGATTTTCAAGTTTCGTACATTTTCCAAAAAAACAATCTAACTAGGGTGCTACTTATTAGTGGTAATTTTTTTTATTTTCTCAGGGGTATTCCTCATAAACTGGAAAACCCAGGGAATAATGTGGGTAAAATGGGAAAATATACGAAATGTGTTATTTTGAAATCGTAAATATTACGACTTTTCAAATCATGTATAACCGAAATCTGCTCAGAATCGTTTTTCATAAGCAATGATTTATCTTTTGCCTTTGCTTATAAATATACATCATATTCCCACTCTAACTTTCCAACATCTCACCTACAACAGTGGCACACTCATTATGTGAAATATGACTGTTCGTTTTTTTTTTTTTGTTATAATAATACTATTACATTATAATGACGTTCAGATTTCGGCGGGAATAATCGTAAAAATCATTACGAACATTTTGCGTGCTACAGTTATATACTCAAAAATCGTACATTTAAGTGAACACAAATATTTCACTTAATAAATCATTAGAAAATTTGATAAAATATGGTTCATTAAAAGTTTTTTTTGTAAAAAAAATCTTTTTTTTGTACTTTTTTAAATATAAAATGTATTAATAAAATCCATTGATACAGCTCAAAATTGTTAATTATTTTATACAGTTTCTTTTTCATAAAATGTTAAATGTTAAATTTAAAAAAAAATATTCAGCAAAATCGTTATTTGTTTGTAACGTATAATGTTTCTTACATGAAGTACCGGCGTATAGAATAAATTATAAATTGCCCTGTATATTATTATAACCTTATTGGTTTACAATGATTTTTTTTTTTTTTATGGATAACTTGTCTACCAGCTTCGATATACAATGATAGCACTATCTCTGAAAAGAAATCTGACTGGGAAGGTATTTAAGAGAGGACATTTTTTGATTTTCCCACGAGTTTTATCAATAAACGTGAAAAACTCGGGAAACTGGAAAAAACGGGAAAATAAGTATAATATTAAATAGATATTGTAAAAGATAATATTTAATTCATATGCAATTATTTTATCATAATGTGACATACAATATAATGTTGACAAAGCAACACTATCAACTGAACTCATCTCAGAATCGTTTTTTTGTTAATCGTTGCTCTTACAGATATAATAAATTCCTATCTATATACAACCTTCTCAACTTCCCCACATATAATTATTAATTTATTTTTGTTAACCGATGGACCGTAAACACAGTCACCGCAAATAACATAACACTCCATAATATACAAGTGATAACGTATAGTACCACCTATTATATGTTTTAAGCATTTGGAAATATATTTTAAACAAGTGGGTGGTATTATATTATATTAGTTTCATAAATTAGTATAAATAACCATTACAGTATTTCAGTAGTCATCAGTACAGTGTCTGCAGTTGTCAACAGATTGTTTAAAACAAAATATTACAGTTTCTCAATTAACCTGCTAATATTTCAAATAAACTTCATCAAAATGATCAGTCTATTGCAGGTGAGTCACAAAAAAACAACAAAACTATTAAAAGCGCGTTAAAAAAATATATATATTATATACATGTATAATACATTCTATATTGTATACTATATAATATTAAATTTCAAACAATGCTACAAGAAAAAATATTACGGTAATTGTGATTTATTGAAGTATTCAAATTGCAAAAACAAATTTAAATAAATATTTACTATCACGTAATACCAAAATAGTTTAAATATTACTTCATCAAAAAAAAAAAAAAATAATAATAATAATAATCACAAATTACTTTTTAAAAATAATTGTGGAGTATAATAGGAATTTTAATTTTTTTTTAATTAAAATATCTATTGCTATATTAGATATTATGTATTATAATTAATACGGATTACCGATATATTCCCGAAAATTTCAGTAATTACCTACCAGTTCACTGTTTTACTATCGTAAAAAGTGAAATTACTCCGATTTTCGTGAGATTATGAGCATTTAATCACTATAATATTATAATATTGATTTATTGACCAATTTCTAGATCGCTGTGGTCGTTTTGAGTGCGCTGACGATACTGACAATGGCCGAACACCAAGCTACCTCATTTGCCTACTACCATCCAATATTTCACCACACTAAACATCACGGACACGACTACTACGTACGTAAAATTAGTTAATTACATAGTAACTAATATTTTTTGACGACGTTTTTTATTTTTAAAATAGTAGCTGGTTATAAATATTTATCAGTGGTTACTCAATCATCGTTATATTTTATTCATAAGTAATCGTTCTCAAACACGATCATAACAGGTTATAACTACAATAGTATTGGAAACTTTGTATGTCTAGACAATTTGTGACAAGATACAAAAATCAACTACGATTGTACAAAATAGTTTTTATATATGTACCTATAAATTATTTTTTGGGGAGTATTGAATAGGTAATATCGGCAAATCTTAATATGGGATAATTATTTTTTAATCGTTTTATCATATTCGGTATAAAAGCCATTGCATTGGAGATCTTTATCCAAGAGAATAGTTTAGCATATGCCTTAAATGATTGATATCGTTAAGATCGAACATAAATTCTTTTGAAAATCTATAAAGATTTAGATTTAATACCGATAGTCATATTATGTTTGCAATTCGTTTTTCTAAATGAATTTGTCTCCATCACAGTCGCCTCCCGAGTACGTAATAATCAGCTTTACCAATGTAATATTTTATAATGCATTACAATGTTAAGTAATTGTGGATTTCAATATCCACCTTGGTTTCTCTTATAAAATGCTGACTTTATTATATTATTATTGAGAACTTAGTTTATCTGGATTATTATCCAGGTAACTCGACCACATCAATTCCGTTCGTATAAAATATGGTTTATAAATAAGTAGATGCCTATATTTTAGATGAGAAATTCAGTAGATATTTTCAGATCCTTGTTATATGATAACGAATTACGGGGTATTATATTCGGTATATATACAGAATATTTGAGTACCGCTAAGATACCGCTAGCCTAAGTTTCATAGAAAGCTGAACCTATCAGCGGCTTTATCGTAACGCGTTTTACTAACCGGAATTGTCTCAAACGTAGTCACCGCCCAAGTACGAATTCAAGTATGGCGTTCACGATCCCCACACAAAAGACGAGAAAAATCAGTGGGAGGAACGACACGAAGATGTCGTGCACGGCGGCTACAGTTTCGTCCAGCCAGACGGCCGCATTCGAAAGGTGACGTACACGGCCGACAAGCACAACGGGTTCAACGCGCACGTCCACTACGAACACCACGCTCAACACCCCCAACACTATGGTCACCATCACCACCAGGATTCATGAACTTCGCCGTTTTCAATTTATCTGTTATAATTTGTTTTTATTTGTTTATTTTATGAATTATGATAATATAGACAATTTTTTGAGGTAATTTTTGGTTTTTGTTTTTTTTTGATTATCGCTGTTTAATACAAATTTTAACACTTACAAACAATTTAATTGATATTGTATAAAAGTAGATGGATTTATATATCTTCCAAGAAACACGTATGTTTATTAAAAATGTTGGCATGTTTTTACTAGGCAATATTACCAACAAAATTTTGTTTCTTTTTCAAAGAAAAATGTATTCAAGTCGATATTTAAACGAAAAAACGAAATCGAAGTTTTTACTTATTAGTTATACAAAAACAAAAATAAATAATAATAAATTGCCTGCAAACACAAAATATCCAACTCTCGTGCCGTTGAAGTATAGTGCATGACTGGTGAAAACACTTCATTATAATTATACCACAATTTATACACCAATAATATTTTTATCTTCATAATTCGGCCAATATGTTGTGATAATTAGATTATAATATTAAATGTATAGAAAAAAAAAAAAGATATTCTGGAATATTGGGGACGGGTGAAGCCACTGTTATAATTAATTTAATGTATACCTTGAAGCAACGTTATAAACCATTGCTTACAAAAAAAACCATTCTAGCGGAATTCGGTTTTAGTGATGTTTTGACAACAATATATGTACTGTATTATAGTAAAATAATTAAATAGGCTCTATGTATTTTCTTTAATAATATTGATTGTTTAATGCCGTACCGATTTTCTCGGTTTTCCTAGTTTTTCGTATTTGCTGAGAAAATTCCAGGAAAAAAAAAAACGACCTCTTTAAAGTACCTCCCCAGTGAAATTTAAATTTAAAAAAATTGCTGTCATTATGAGTTGGAGCAAAATAACTGGCAGAAAAGTCGTCTACAGGAAAAAAAAAATAAACATCTTTGTAAAACTAAAAGCTTCTCCGCTCTACTCAAAATCTAAAATACTATTATCTATTTTGTATCGTCTATGAGGACAGTAGTATAACAACTTGAATAATCAATCATAATTTGAGAAATACGAGTTTAAAAACCTTCCGCGTTTTTATTCACCAGTGTCTATCAACATCACTTTAGTTATCAATATCATGCCATCATGATAATTGCTTTATTATAGTAACCAATAAAAATGGAGTTAGTGATGTCAAGTTAAAAAAACAAAAAATTAAATATAAAATTATTATTTGGCTCTGTGATAAAGCAACTGTGCTAATACTGTGATACTGCTAAGCAAAGTGTTGAAAAGAGGCTCGAGAAGCTTGTTCTTTTTTATGTTTCTCTAATTTATTATCATATCATTTTGAAATTAGTTAGTTAATGAATAATACAATTATATATTTTCACTATAAAATTTTAAAAAAATAAAAAAAATATCTCATAACCAAATTTACTTTATTTTTGAGTTAATACATTAGTGTTGTAGTGGACTTACTATTGAAATGCATTGCAGTGTCATTGTTTTACTATAATATACTATTGCATTTATAGCAATCTATTATTTTTCTTTACACTATGCCATTTATTTTCGTTTAACTTATTTCACTTGTAGATAAAATAAAATATAGTACTGTAGTACTAGAGTACCGAAAAGACCTGCCATTTTTACCGTAGGAAAAGTTGCGTAACATAATATTGAATTTTTTTTTTTATTCCCAATTCTATATCGTTCGGATAGTCTGCAAAAATTTATTAAATTGAATTATTATTGTATTATTATTATCTTATCGTACTTTTACAATATAAAATACCTTATAATAAACCTCTGTAAAAAATCCTTTTTTTTTTTTTTTTTTTATTAAATTCACATCAAAATAATATGATTTTCTCTCCAAGATTTTCATATACAATATTAATATTGAATTATGTGTCTATAAAAATATTATAGATACTTATTGATATAAAAAAAAAAAAATGTTTTAATTTTGCGAAAATGGAAACAGGTGAACCAATTTCCATCTATTCTTTTAAGATAAGATAATTACAGCTAATTTACATAGTATGTCGAGAAAAAAAAAGATGATAAGTGGAGCGGAGTATTTATTGGTTTTACTTTGATGGTTTTTTTTCTGGCTTTTATGTATTAAGTGTGGTATCTTCACTGACAGGAAATTTTATCTAGTAAGTTTATTAGACAAGTCATTTTTCAAGAGGTTTTCAAAATAAATGGGAAAATTCTTAAAGAAAATTATATATAAATGTAGATTCCGAGCGTGGCTTAATTAAAATATTTGAATTGGCACAGCACAATCGGTCCATCAAACCTCATAATGATGATTTCACACCGTTATGTTATGGCATCCTGTTGTATCTGTAAAATAACGAAAACCATAGAAGTCCAATTACATTTTGATTTTGAAGCCCCGAGGAGTTTCGTCAAACGCAATTTTTCGTTGTAATTTTCTCTTTGAGTCTCACATTTTAATTTCATAATTCCTTTAATTCCTTAGGCACATAATATAGTTCCTTTATCAGATCACACACGCTAATCAGCCGACGTTTTGAAATTGTTTCAAAGGGTTAATAACTAGCTGTAGGTAGGGAGGTATAGGCACCAATCGTAGGACGATAGCTCGGGGAATTTCATATAAATTTCCATACTATACCTATTTTTAATATATAATTATGTATCATACAAAATAACTAATAAACTTTGAAAATTGGTTCAAATATATAGGTACTTCGTTAAGAAGCTATTTAAATATTTAATGATATTTTAAGTAGGACGTTTCAAACGTACCAATTAATTTTACATACATGTAAAGATAATATGTGGTTTTAAAAATAATACCAATAAATTTACTAAACGCACATTGTAATTTATTTCAATTGGTTAGTTAAAAAAAAAAAAAAATCGGAAAAAATTGAATTTTATTAAATCATTTTTAATGCCCTGTTTTTTTTTTTTCTTGAAACGCGTATATAAGCAATTAAATATTTGTTTAGTGATATTATCAAACAGTATAATATTAAGATAAAAGAATTTGACTATTTTTAGATTATTATTGTCTGATTCTCGAAATAACTGTATTTTTTTGTTATTTAAATATTCGTTATCAAATCGTTTTAATCGATATTTACAATATTATGTAAAGTATAAAATTAAATGAGCCTCTAATTTTACAATATTATTAGGAATATGTATTAAATTATGAAAACTAAATTTTTGGTGATATTTACTTAGAAACACTTATAAATATAAAACAAAAAATTAATTAATTAATATTAAGGATAAATTAATAAAATAATAACACTATATCTGACGAAGGTTAATCTGAAATGTAAATGTTTCGATTTTTCTATACAATATTTTTAAACAAAACCTGATATTGCTGATGGATTTTTCACTGTTTTAAGATATAAGTTGGAAGGAAGGTTGGAGTAATGGAGTAATCAATTTACATGTTATGTACACAATAATTTATTATTGCTAGTAAAAATGATTTTTAGCAGGGTGTTTTTAGTCGTATTTTCCCCAGTCACGGTCGATGATTCGAGTATTAGACTCAATAAACTACTAACAATTGCCAGTTTTTTTCATTATTAAAAAAAATTACAAGAAGAATTAAACAATGACTTCTCCGGTCCTACTAGATCAAAAATATCACAAGACTGTTCTATAAAAGTTTTTGATTGGAGCAAGATTATACTGGTGGAAAAGTGATTAAGATATTATACAAAGAATACATATTAAAATCAAATAAATAAACTGGTCATTTAACTTAGAAAGTTATAATATTTAATATAGCAATTTACGTATTTTAAGTAGGGAACCGCTAGAAATGTGAAAAATAAGCAGGGTAAAAAAATACATTAATTGACAGTTTTTTTGAGTATTCTATTTTGTATTTGATTTTTATTTCATGTCATTGTGATGGCCGTATATTTTTTCTCCGGTGTGGCCGAATAAATAAAATAATTGTTTTTTCTGTCAAATTTTCTCTGAAAATAAAGGCTATTGAACCGTATTGTGTCTGTATATATTTATATATCTTTTACCAAGTACATTTAGACACTTCTAGCAGCTCTTTCTGAACCGAAAAAACACAAACTCGAGAATTATAATATTTTATAGCGAATTGAAATGATAGAATTTGATTGAATGTAAATATTATATTGTTGAGGGAAAAGAGTGTTAGCTATATACGCCATTTTAGATTTCTTCATAAAGCCATGGAGATGAAATTTTGTATACACATGGTATAAACATCAAAGATGTGCTATTTGATGGTTTAAAGTTTAAAACCCATCATCGATAATTTCTATCTTCAGTAACTCGGTTAAATGTGAAATGTTTGTACATTTGCCAAAGAAGATGGGTGGTTTTTACTTCCAATTTCCTATCTCATTTTCGAAAACTTCATTACTTATTTTGGTAAAAGTCAATTTCTTTATATTATGGGAAAAAAACCTTGAAATAACAAGTCAGTTTAGGTACCATTTTCCACTAGTAACGGAATATTGCCGCTCTTGTATATTTTGTCTGAAGTGTAGATAATGGCAGATTATTTTCTCACGTAATATAATACGGCGTAACGTGTAGATAAAATAAGTACATGAATGCGTCCGTGGCCGAAAAGAACTTTAATTTTTATTTGTTGTTTTATTTAACAAAATTATAATATTAGGCAATCGAACCCCATATATGTTCCTTATTACTTATGCAGCGTTGATTCTGGTTGTATGTTTTTCGGTAAGGCATCGTATTTATCGTTAATAGAACGGACGGGAGGGGTAAAGGAAAGTTATTTTGTTTTTGTCGTGAGCGAAATCTAACAAAATTGAAATAGCCTTAGATATTAATTAATAACCATACATCAGTAAATGAAGAATACGAACAACGATTAAATAGAAATAATAATATAAACTAAATATAATTAATACGATAGTGAAAAACGAAAACGGTTTTCGTACTAACTTTGAAGAGTCTGAATCCAATTCTCTGACTGGAGAAGGAACTTTTCCTGTTAG